GGGGGGGGGGCTTCCTACCCCTACTCATTGATTCATTTGCCTTGCAAGCTCCCACAACTGAGGTGCCAGGAAATTAATTACTCTCTTTGGGAAAATTCTCTTGTCAGTCGCACACAGAACACTTTGAATCATATCAAATGCAAAAGTGTGCATGGAACATTGGCACTTATCACATACTGGAAACAATCTGCATATTCTCACTGTTGAACGATAAGACATTTGGAAAAACACTTTATCTCTGTTTGCCATTGTTTTGAAGTTGAAATGGGGGCAGGCTGAAATTCAGCAATCGGTAAATATCTTTGAGAGCATCCTTTAGTCGGTGAAGATGTTGTGAATTTAGGGATTCATAAATTTATGTTAAGCACTCATGCAATCATGTACACATTAATTCTTCTGTGGAGGTGCACACGTGCGTTTGTGAAACCCCAGAGTTACAATTTGCTATTTCCTCATTCATCCCTGCCACCTGATCTCCATCTGAATTGACAGCTGTAATTCCGACTCTTTTCATCCATGCTAGAGCTGAAAAGTGAAGCCAGCAGCCACTCACGGCCCATGTGTGTGTGTGTGTGTGTGTGTGTGTGTGTGTGTGTGTGTGTGTGTGTGTGCGTGTGTGTAGATCTAGAACATTTCCCTGCTATGTAGTTTTGCACACAGCCACAATCTTGCACATTAAAGCTTCAAATTGTGATAATTTCCCCTCTAAGTGTGACCATGTCAAAGAAACATGACTTATTCTATTTCTTTTTGTAATGAAAATATATGCTTCCTCTGCCAAACCTGTTTTTGCACCTCTTCTGCCTTTTGATTCTTTTGTCGGCTAGTTGTTATTTGCTCTTTTGCACTGTTTTGAAACACACGATGAATGCCACTTCTTACACTCTGACAATCATTTAATTCAAGCACAATTTGACGTGAAAAATCATGAGCAAAATGCATGTTTATTTTCAAGACAAATGTTGAAATGTCTTTTTTTTTTTTTTTTTACACTTTTATTGGAATTGCAAAGACTATGTGAGTTTGGCGGCGTAAATGTACAAAATGGTTTCTCATGCGCTGTTGGATTTGAAAATGCATTCTTCAAATGTGCAACAGATTAAAACTTTACAATCAAAAATGTTTAAAATATTCTGCAGATAATGAGGTAGACTGGCAGGTTTGTTGAACACATCTCAAGGATTGGAACATTTTGGTTGGGCCACAGAAATGGTATCACCTGAGACATGCCACTCCTACTAGGTGTAAGTAAATTACTGGTGTCTCAAAATTGGAGGAGGTACAAGTATTCAGCCAATGGCATTTGCTTGAAAAAAAAGAAAAACATTTGGATTAAAATTCACAGATTCTTCCATTTTTAAATAAGAATTTTTCTTTTTTTTTTCATTTTTTCAAAAATGTTATTTGGAGACATGGTACCTGAATCTAAATTATGAGACATGTTAGGACATGTTCCTTAATTTCACAGGAAGTTCAGGCATATGCAGGTGCTCAGACCTATTGAGGAGGGTGTACAATTTAATCTTGAATCAAATTAGAACTGCTCATCTTTGTGGTCATTCTGTGGGGGGTTTTTGTTTGTTTTCTGCTACGTCCATTCTTCCTCTCTCATTCTTTACCCCCTGTAGTCCTCTCTCTACTCTTTCTCAATGCTCCCTCTTTCTGCACCCCTTCGGTCTTTCACTCTTCTCTCCGATTACAGGATTATGGTGTGGTGGGTCAGAGTCAGTGTGCGGTAGCGTATGAGGCAGAGATTTGCCTCGAAAGTTCCTGCCCAGGACAGTTTTAAAAAAGGAGGTGATGGAGGGGAAATGTGCCTCGGAAAAACGCATTAGCATGTGGTAGAGTGAGTTTCTAAGCAGATCACCATCTCTAAACACACCACTTGCCCCGAAAAATGAAACATACCTGTTTATTAGTTAGCAATTTGCTTTGGACCGGGTACACACACACACACACACACACACACACACACACACACACACACACACACACACACACACACATACACATACACACACACACACACACACACACACACACAGTTCCATTGTCATGGTTCCTCCGCACCAGCGTAGTAATTAAACTCCTACTGATTTATTGAGTGACACCACCAAATCCCGACTCGGCTTGTTTTTATGACAACCATCCCTCCTTGGGAAACAGTAGCTTCTCTCAGCACTGTCTGATCACATTTTTATAGGTTCCTTTAGATGGGGCTTGGACACACAAATATTGTTGCTTATGGAAAAAAAAAGAAACAACAGGCACCCAGAAATAAATATAAGCATTTGAAAAATGCCAAATGTTTATATTTAAAGAACAACACATTTTGTTTTGTTTCTTTGGTCGTTTCTACTCAGCTTCAGGTAGAAGACTGAAATATATGACTATTATAAATAAAATGCTTTTCAAAACCATTGATGCCGAAGCACCCAGCCAAGCCCACCCACCGGTGTTCTGTGTGGACGATAATTAGCCATCTCCTGAGACAGGAAGTCTTGTGGGTGTCTGGTTGACCACTCGTGAGGCCTCTGTGGGATAATTCACCTTCGTAATTACACTGGAATGAGTGATTGACAGTGGACTCTCAGCTTCCACTGCCACCCCTAGGATAGAAAAGCCTACAGGTGTCAATGTCCTCAAAGACTTTTATTTCCTGCAATGTGGTGCCTTCATCGCCAAACCACAAACAAGAATCATGTTTGCCGACGGGCGCTATCAGTTACTTTTACCAATTTTAAAGATCACCAAATGTGAAGCACCTGTGGCCAAAGCCAAATGACAGCAAAGTTTTTAACTTTCTGGGCCTGGATTGGACACCTGTGAATAACACACATATGATATAGCCTACCGACCTATAATCCTTTGTATTTTTCATAGTACCAAGACTGACCTGTGTGAGGCAGCATTGTGCCACAAGGGCATCCAAAGTTCCGACAGTACAAAGAAGAAGATGAGTAGTTGTCACGCTCGAAGAAATAAGAGATAGGCTATTAGCTTTTCGGGTCGGGGAACTACATCGTGGTTGTGATCTTCACTTCATTTTCATCGTGGCGGG